CTCTCCTTAGTTTCATTAGTTCCGTTAAGTTTTTTGTTCAATTTTGGTTATGCTTTATTTCAGATTGTTTAGTGAGTACTAAAAGGTGCACCCTTTTTTTAGTATTTGTATTATTTATAAGATTTGTGTGAAAAATAAATGTATGACTTTTAATTTCAATTGTTAATTTCGAAACATTCTCAGTCCAAAAAATATTTTTTTTCTTTTTTTGTAGCTGTTATCAGTAGTTGTTTTTAAAGTTGATCTATTTTCAAAGTTTAATATGGCTCCCAAAAAACGAAAATCTTCAGAAACTGTCTTCCATATAGACAGATGTGCAAATCCTTACGAAATTAAGGGTCATAGAGGAAAAAGTTTACGACCTATGTCCAAAATTATGTTGCAGGAGTTTCCTAATTGTATTGCAAATTCTAAAATTTGCAGTCTGTGTCGAACACGATTTTACCAAAATAGTAAAACATCTTCCATCAATGATGTGTGCATTGAAGCATCCGAGGTTTCTAATTCAATGAATTCCGAATCTGATTCTGATAATGATGATATGAGTTCACCTAAAAAAATCCACTTTTCTAGGGAAGAAGAACTAGAACAGCTTTTGAATGAACTAAAAAACAAATTTGACAGTTTGCCGGACAATGATCCGCTTCGTGTTAGCATACTTACAATTGCTCCAGAATGTTGGTCAATTCGTAAAGTTGCTAAAGAATTTAATACTAACAAAAATATGGCCGAAAAATCAAAATATTTAAGAGAAACACAAGGTGTTTTGGCAACACCATATCCAAAAAAAGGAAAGAAATTATCTAATGATATTGTGGATAAGGTTATAGAATGGTATGAAAATGACCCTTAGAATCAATAATTTTAAATGTATTAACTGTCGTATTTTGCGTGTCAAGTTTCATTAATTGTAGCTTTTCACTAATTCTTTCTTTAATCGTCAATTCAGTCCGCGTTGTACTCGATTATTGTGCAGGTTGCTTTTCTCACACTTAGAAACAAGTTTCTTTCCGTAATAGGTGCAAGTGACGATAAGTAACACTTAGAAGCAGTACTAGCTCTTGAAACAAACGCAAAAACCCTAAAGTTGTAAAAGTTACATAAGTTTAACATAACAAACTTTGTTAGTTTCATATAATTGAAACAACATCTTGAAAACCAAACTTATACTGACCAGCGCTATAACCTGTATCCTACGACTAATCTGTAATAAAAGTTAGTAACATTTATGTAATTATTTGTAAACATTATTTAAATATTTAATAAACATTGTTAAAAGGGAATATTATTATTTGTTGTTCACGCAAAACCCGTAGTTTTGACAAGTAAAAACGATCCTACTTAAAAATAAAGGTCAAGCTTTACCAACTTGACTATAATCAGCCTACCATTCCTCCAAAATTTTATAACCTAACCTATAAAATTGCCTTCTGCTCGGGATGTAACAGTATATTAGATTGTTGTTTTAATTTTACGTCGTTTTCGCTCAATTTTTTTTAGACCAATGACCAGGCATAGACAGAAATTTCAGTTTTATGTATTATTGAGCGAATCTTTACGACGATTTTGACCAGAATATAGCGCCAATGGCGTCGAACAGTAAGAAGTATACAGCGTTCTCGATCCCAGGTTTCGGGTTATTTCAGTTTAAGAGAATGCCCTTTAGACTGACCAATGCACCAATGACTTTTCAAAGACTAATTGACGCCCTGTTTGGACCTGCATTCGAACCAGTTGTATTTGGTTACCTCGATGACATTATCGTTGTGACCGATTGTTATGAGGAATATTTACGATAGTTGAGAATAGTTCTTACGAAACTCGCAATAGCAGGACTTTTGTTGTGAATCCGGAAAAGTACAAATTTGGATGGTGACTTATATTGGTTACGTTTTGGATAATAAAGACTTACGACCAGACCCAGACAAGATAGCGCCTGTAGTGAAATATCCAGCACCACAAAACCAGAAACAGTTAAGACGTTTTTTGGGAATGGTGGGCTGGTAGTCACGGTTTATTGTAAATGATAGCGACCTGAAAGTGACATTATTGCGACTATTGCATAAGGGCAAGACCTGGAAATGGGCAACAGAGCAAGAAAAAGCATTTCAGACTTTGAAAGAAAAATTGGTATCGGCACCAGTTTTGGCTATACCTGACTTGACCGAGGAATCAGAGGATGGTGAACATCCAATTGTTTACATCAGTAAAGCCCTGACACCAGCAGAGAAAAACTACAGTGTGACCGAGACCGAATGTTTATCAGTGCTTTGGGCCATAAAAAAGTTCCGTCCTTATGTAGAGGGAGCGAGTTTCAATGTGATAACCGACCATAGTGCGCTGAAATGGTTGAAGAATCTCAAAGAACCCTCAGGTAGACTTGCACGCTGGACCTTGGAAATGCAACAATGGGATTTCTAAATTGTCCATCGTAGAGGAATCCACTATTATGTACCGGATGCACTATCAAGACTTTTCGAGGATAAAGGTGAATGTGCAGCGTTTGAACTGATTAATGACCAGTGGTACCTAAGGAGAAAAGAGTTAGTAGATAAGTTTCACAACGCTTCCTGGGATGGAGAGTGGAAGATAACCGACTCTATAGACAAAGAGTAGACCCATTGATCAACCCGTTCGAGGATGAGGTGGAAAGTTGGAAACTAGTTGTTCCCGACGAGTACAAGGAAAGAGTGATGAGAGAGGCGCATGTGGAGATTTCGGCTGGTCACTTGGGAATCGAGAAGACCTATCGTCGTGTGACCAAGGACTATTACTGGCAGGGAGTTTGGTATGATGTGCAACAGTTCGTGAAATCTTTCCGGAGTGCCAATTACACAAAGTTTCGCAGGAAGGACCGATGGGGTTAATGGGCCATAGGATCGTTGAGCACCCCTGGGTGGTTGTGGCTGCAGATTGTATGGAGTTTCCACCCAGTCGAAGCCGGCTAAGAGTTTGCGGAGAGAAGTAGAACTAATCAGTTCGAGCTCGAGCCGAGTTCGAGCCGAGCTGTGTAAAAAGCTCGAATAGTTTCGAGTACTCGAACGTTTCAAGTACTCGAGTTAATTCGAGTACTCGAATTTTTCGACTACTCGATTTAATTCGAGTACTCGAACTTTTTTGAGCTCTTCAGTAAATTCGAGTTTTAAAGAAAATTCATATAATTTTCGCATATATTATATTTAGCAAATAGAAATACAGTTTGAAATTAAAGATTTCTTTACTTTATTGATTGAGTAATTCGAATAAATTCGAAATTTTCTACTTATTAATAGTTTTTTTAGTAAGTCAAAATCTCGAATCCATTAGAGTAGTTTAATTTTTCGAGTACTTGATTTCACTCGAGCACTCGAGTGACTTCGAGTACTCGAATTCACTCGAGTGCTCGAATTTAATCGAGTACTCGAATTTACCCGAGTACTCGAATTTTTCAAGTACTCGAAGTCACTCGAGTACTCCTGCATGTATTTGCTTATGACTGCTTAAGTTTTGTTCCAAATCACTCTACAGATCACATTTTTTACCAAAACGATTTTTTTTCTAAATCTTCGTAATTAAATTTTCTATTAATCGCTCGAATCCGGTTTTTGAAATTTCGTTTTTAAACATTTTTTTAATAACAATAAGTTTAAAAAAATAGTAAAATATATTTTTGTTCACCTTCATTGATTAAGAAAATTAATCTACTAATGGAAAAACAAATTATTATATTATTAAATTGTTTAAACAATAATTTTTATAATTTTTTTCATAAAATATACTTAGGATTAGAAATTTCTAGTTTTTTCGCAATACAATTTTTCATGAGTAAAACATCTACTGATGATAAGAAATAAACAATTATTTACTATAAAACTGTTTAAATAATGAATTTTTGTCATTTTTCATAGATTGCACTTAGGACTAGAGTTTCTAATTTTTCAAAGTGCAATTCTTAAAAAAATTAAAAACTATAAATTGTTTATTTAATTATTACGATGTAATGATTTTTTTGAAAGTTATTGTTTTTAAAAAAATGTTTAACAACAAAATTTTAAAAATTGGGTTTGAGGGATCGATATAAAATTTAATTACGAAGATTTAGAAAAAGGAAAAAGCGTTTTGGTCGAATAATTGTGACCTTTTTTAATTCGTAAAAATTGAACATATCGCTATAAGATAATTTTTCTAAATGATAATATCCTATTCCAGCTTAGAGAAAACACTTTAAAATCCCCGGGTGTTGCACACCCAGTGTGAGGATTGAGGATAGATTCATAAGTGTGCGCTTTAAGGGTTAAAGCAAGTATTTTTGACTTTATAGACAATAACTACAAAAAAAAATTTCAAATCGAAGAGATAGTTTTTTAAAAATCAAAAAAAAAACTCAAAAAATTTTGAAAAAACTTTTATACATTTTCATTCCATGTATATAAAGGAACAAATTCAGTAAGTATTATTAATATTGCTAAAATCATCGAAAATTCTTCAGATCACTTCCCGTGGAATTGCTTAAAATTCTTTTAATTGAAGGGCTACATAGAATAAGAGGACGAACGCGAGGCTTGGAAGGGATACTAGCAGTCGGGTAGCAGTGACAAGCCTTGAGCCGCTCGCTGCTACCTGACTGATATTATCCCTTTAAACCATGCGTTCGTCCCCTTATTTTATGTAGCCCTTCAATTTTTGTTTTATAGGGGTAGATTTCTATATTATCAAAATAACAAATTTTTGAATGATTCAGTTGAAAAAAGGTATTCTAAATCTTAAGAGTACCTACTACTTATAAATATTTTTTATTCTTACGGTTAAAATATTATAAATAGGTGGTTTCAAAACAAGGAGGAGTTTTTTAAAACACAATATTTCTGAATTTAGGAACTTATTTAAAATTTATAAAGGAATATTCACTAATAATTTTACGCCGCAGGCGGTATGTATTTTTTGTACAAAAATCGGAATTCTTAAACTTAGAATATTCTTTTATTAATGTGCAATATGTGTCTCGTATTAACAACAATTACCGTCAGGTCTGCATTAGAAGGTATTATATAAGTGCAACAGACAGTCAAAGATAGAATAAAAAAATTATTCATTTTCACTTCTATTTTACTGCAAAGTTGAATATTTCACAATACAAAAAATCTACAAAAGTGTTTCTTATATACCACTAACTTTTATGATTTTTCAATGTATCTGTAAAAGCAATATTTGAAACATGTTCTTCAATCGTGTTTCACGATAAATTTTAATTTCTCTGTAACTCACTACGCAAGTATTTCATATTTATTTTATTTATTTGTTTATACATGTGTAAATTGAACATTGACATGTAAGAATATGTGCCTTTACGCCAGAAAATGATATTTAAACTTTTATTTTTGTGTAATAAAAATTATAATATTAAACTTCATCGTTTCGGTTTATCTATTAGCTGTATGCTTTATTAGAAACATTTTTAAAAAATAAAAATTGCATTTTATAAGCAATATTTAATTAAAAAATTAAATCTACTTCAGGGACCCTTACACGAATTCTTAATAATAATATTTTATTTTATAGAATTTTAGAAGTTATTTTTCCTTATTTAGAAACGAGTAGATATACAAATTAGGTAAAGAAGGACATTCTTGTGAATTTTGTTTTGCAAAGAGAAAGAAATTCATGGTTAAATTTGAAGAGAGATAGTCTTTTTCATTGAAAGACAAAGTATAGAACAGTAAGACTCTCAGACGAAAATATTCTTATGAAAGTTGTAATTAAGTAGAAAAGGATAAACAATGTTAAACGAAGAAGTTCTTGTTATTCTTTCTTGATAGAGAGAGAAAACACTAGCGTTAAATCGTCAGCTATATTCCGAAATTATTGCCTGAGTCCTCAAAGTTTTCCTCAATAACAAAGACCCTATTGTACAAAGGGTTTGTATTGTCCATATTATATACTTCGATTATACAGTCGAACCTGAATAAGTGGAACCTGAAGGGACCAAAGTTCTTGTTCCACTTATAGAGGTATTTCACTTATCCAGGTCATTTAAGGTCAAGTTACTTATGCAGGGACCGCAAAGAAAGTTCTACTTAAAGAGGATTCCCACTTATCGAGGGACCACTTATCCAGGTTCGACTGTATATACAAAAGAATGTCTACACCGCCTAAATAAGAAGGAAATTTTCAGTTCATCATATCGTAGTATATTTTTGATGCGACTCGTTCTACGGTGAATTAAAACAGTTTTAATTCACTGATAAATTCAATCACTGAATGTGAGTGAATATAAAGTTAAGTACAAATTCCTACAAACAATTTTCAAAAAATTGAAATTTTTATCCCCGTAAATTGCTAGAAAATACTTTTATAAATAATATAGAATTAGTCCCGAAGGTTCGCACGACCAAAAAATCGTCATTTTTTACGATTTTTCACGAACAAAAACTTTAATCGACTTTTTCTCGAAACCACGTTTTTTCAACTGGGTGGCACTCTCATTTAGAAACTATTGCACTCATTAACACAAACCAAACAGCATTTTACTCTTAAAATGTCTCTTTATGGTGTAAACTACAACCAAAAAAATTAATTGTTATTTAAAAAGTTATAAACAATTAAAAGTGAAAAAAATTAAGAAGTCCGCTATTTTGTTTTTTTGTGAAAATGTTTTATTTTAGTTCAGACCATAGCCAATGTGATACAGAATAAGAAATCGTTTTGATTTTTGCTTTCAGATGATTCGTTTTCTATTAATCCTGTTACCAACCAACAAAAAGGACATTTTTCAGCAGCCATTCCAGCAGCCGACAATAACGGGGCAGTCTGGGTCTTTTCCACGTATTTTAAAAGAATTTTTTTTCATAGTGAAATTTATTTAAACATTTAAAAAATTTTACATATTATTACACATATATTAAACTAAATAAAAAAAATTATATTTTTTGTTGTTAATAGCGAAGAAATGGCGACTTGAAAAAAAATCTCGAAAATCTGCCATGATATCTTTAGTCAGAACAGACGGAATCAAAAAATTCAAACGGATTATTAAAATATAGGTAAGTGGTTACAGCCTGAACTAAAATAAAAAAATTTCATTGAAAAATAACAAAATGGCGGACTTTTTACTTTTTTAATCCTTCTTTTGCAACTAAAATTATTTAAAAAACAGGTTAAAAATTACGATTTTAGTTCAGGCTGTAACTACTCACCTATATTTTAATAATCCGTTTGAATTTTTTTATTCCGTCTGTTCTGACTGAAGATATCATGTCATCCAGATTTTCGAGATTTTTTTTCAAGTCGCCATTTCTTCGCTAAACAAAAAATATAGAAATTTTTTTTTAAAATTAGTTTAATATATGTGTAATAATATGTAAAAATTTTAAAATGTTTAAATAAATTTCACTATGAAGAAAAAATTCTTCGAAATACGTGCAAAAGACCCAGACTGCCCCCTTAAGAGAAAAAAATGTTTTTTACTTAGTACTTTTTAATACCTTTCAATTGTAAAAACTTTCATTTAAAAATATTGCTGATATTACGAATAAAATATGTTAAAAAAAACACATTTTGTGGAGGAACCTGTCCTTAAGCAAGTGAATTATTAAATAGTCAGTAATACTCAAATTGTATTAACCTTTGCGCTCCAGGGCAGTCACCCGGGGTGACCAAACAATGAAAAAAGTTGAAAATCTGCTCGACTTTTGCATCAATCAATGAAACAACTTTTAAACAAACTATTGTTGTTATTTATCAACTTTTTACAGGGGCGGGTCCAGACAAAGTTCTGGGGGAGCATCTGCAAGACGTTAGCTTGATGACCTTATATGAATGGAATTTTTATTTAAGAAATTCCAGGAAGTTTGAATTCTCGAGGGGGGGCATGCCACTGTGGCCTCCCCCTGGATCCGCGCCTAACTTTTTACGGAATGCACCTAGAAAGTTGCAGTTTTTCCCTAATTTTGCAATTTACTAAACCTTATATGATTACAGATTACAATTTATAAACAAATTATTAATTTGTTTAAAAATTGTTTAAATAATAATTCAATTTTTATTCTTTATCATATAGAGTTTAGTAAATTGCAAAATTAGGAAGAAAATTGCAACTTTCTAAGTGCATTCAGTAAAAAGTTGGTAAATAACAACAATAATTTGTTTAAAAATTGTTTAAATATAATAATTTATTTTTTAGCTGCAATATGCATAAAAACATTATTGAAATACAGTATTTATTTATTTATTTATTTATTTGTCTTAGGATTGAAAGCAATCCATACAAAGGAGTTCGACGTACATTAGTAAAAAGAGCATGAACTTACAATACTATAATATTTAAAAAATTAAAATATACCATCTCATAAACTATCCTTTATTCTCAAATTTTTAATAAGAATTTAGCTATTTTTTTTTATCGATTTAAAATCTGGATAGTTTAGCATTTTCATCCATACATCACTCAAGTCACTCAAATCATCAGTATTTTTTATAATTTCCATTCGCTCATCTTTTAGTGCTCTACATTCTATTAAAATATGTAAAATATAATTTTCTCAATTAAACCTTTCCATACAAAAATTACAGTAATCATTTTTTTTTAACTCGTAGAATTTATTTTTCCACACAAATCTCGGCTGATATTTATTAAAGAGTTTAAGTTGAACAAACAATTTGTAAACATCCAAAGGCACGAAGGTTAATAACGTAAGTATGTTTTTTAAATTTTTATCTAATATTAAATAATTTATTGCGGTATTTTTAGTTTGTGGTGTTATTTAATGAAGTTAAGTTTTTCATATTAATTTATATTATCATTATTCCGTAAATTAATGTTAAAAAAGAGTAAAATTAATTGATGTTTATACTGAAAAATAAAAATTAAATGAAAGTAGATTTGGAAAATTGGTCATAATTTGGAAATTGGCTATAATTGGATAAAAATCAAATTTGAAAAATGGTTATATTGTATAAAAGATAAAATTGTAAATATTGGATAAAAGAATGAAAATTGCTTATATTAGATAAATGCTAAAATTGTAAATATTGTGTAAAATGAAAAGTTGTATTTATTTTTATTGATATTATTGTACTTAAAAATTAAAAAAAAAATAATGTGAAATTTAGTAAAGTTATATTAAACTAGAAGTGGGCACGCAACGTGCGCTATGTTGGTTCTAGTAAAAATTAAATAAGCTTCCTTTAGAGTCTAACTATTAAATAATTAAAATATATTATTAGTGTCTTTTAGAAGAAAAAGAATAATTATTTTTAAGAAAAAAATTTTAAACCGTAAAATTTCTTGGTTTATAAAATGTGAAATATGTCATGATCAAAATTTCCTGATATTTCAATTTAAAAAAATTGAAATTGGCTTAACTTATCAAAAGAGCGTCAAACGATCAAATAGCCTGCAAAGTATGGACCTACTTCTGACTCTAAACCGTAAAAATGTCGCTCTATTCATCTAGAAACTGTAGAACTAGTAAAACAATTTTATTTGTCTGATGAAGTAAGTCGAATAATGTCCGACATAAAGGATTATATAAAGATAAACTTCAAAATCAAATACAAAAAACATTTTCATTATTAATTCTTTTGAATTCGGATGAAGAATTTCATTTTTTTAAATTTAAAGAAAATGTTCAGGACGGCGTATTTATTGCAGGTATAGATTTTTCTCACAATTTAAATTGCAAGATTCAGGAATTCTTTCAATTAACTTTCTGATTTAAAATTTAATTACTTATAATTGTAAAGGTTGTAAAATTGATTTTTAAAGAATGGTTTTTTTCTGATATCTTAAAATAAATTGTAATGCGGATATATAGAATATAAATAACAAATTTTATTATAGTTTTCACTTTAACTCGCACTAAAACCAAAAGTTTTCAATATTTTTTAACAAATCTCACTAAAGATACTGTTGAGCACATGACTGACATGCCACGTTACCTGTTATTGTTCACTTACGATAGAATTTTTTTGCCTTCAAATAATTTAATGTTTTACTCATTATAATCTAATGAATTTTTAAATTAATCAAATTATACGTCTTTAATAAAAATGAAGAATTAATGAGTACGCAGGAAAGATTTCTAGGAAAGTGCTCCTTGGAAATTCTGCCAGAATAGAACTTCCGACATAAATTCCGATTTCGAGAATCGGAATTATTTCTAAGTCCCTATCGCAATTCTGTCGGAATTTCCGGTAATGAATAACAATATTAAATTTAATATTACTTTGCAGATGACATTTTGATATGGCAGTAACATCACTGTAATATTGCAAGTAATATTACGAATATTCAATGTGATAGTACAATGATCTCAAAAAAAAATTTACGCGCTGCTTGGGTTTTAAAACAACTGGAAATTTTTTTCCAAAAGAAATTAAAAATTTGGTAAGTAAATATGCTCGTCAAATTAAAGTTTTAAAAATTGTTTCCTTCATTTTTTAAATTTTTTTTTTAAATTTCAGTTTCAGTTTCAATAAATAATTGTAATAGTCTAATTGACAAATAGAATGTATAAACAGTTTTTCCTTTATTTTTAAAAAACTTGGGATTTTATTAAAACAATGTAATTCAGAAATAGAAATAGTGCAAATTATTTTTCTATAAAAGTTAAGAAATTTTTGCAAAAATTGTTAAGAAACGAGAATATATTGTAATGTTGTTTTCCGAAAAGAAAGGAATGAGTTCATGAAGGATATTGTTATTGAAAAACAAATAATATGCAAAATGGATATATTTACTATTTCTTAATCAGAATTTTCTAACAATTAACAATTTGCTAATATTTTTTATAAATAAAGAAAAAAAAATTTGCATAAGTTAGATCAGTTAAATGAAAATTGAAAAAGAATAGAAGCATGTAATGAAACAAAATGGCATTATCATTCAATAGACTCCACGAATCGCTCGAGATGCAACACTAAATTATGAGTTTGAAATCTGTTTTTAGGTTAATATTCAATAACCTATACAGAGAGACAAGTCAGGTAAAATGAATTATTTTATTCACAAATTTTTTTCCAATATGTATTATTTAATAATATTTAATATGTGAGTAATAATAAAAAATATGTAATAAAATATATAATGTAGGTATATATATGTATTTAATATAACATATATAAAAAATACAAATTCTTAAAAATTTTGTTCAATAATACGAAAACCTAAAAGATAAACCGAAAAAATCAAGTTAAATAATAAAAGTTTCATTACTCAAGAATATAAATTTAAATATAATTTTTTATTTAAAATTCACATTTTTTGTATGTCAATGTTAAAGTTACATTTAATTGTTTTAAAATTTTCAAAACAAGTAAATTCAATTTAAAAAGAATTTCTTTACAAAGCATTCCATGATTTGGTGTATTTTTTATTTTATTATTATTTTATATTATTGTGTCCCAGAATAAGTCAACTTTTGATTTTCTTTAACGCAACACCAAACTTTTCTTTCTTACGGAAAAAGAGAGAAGTATTTTTTAAATATATTTTTATTATTTTTTGGATGTCACGCTTGTCGATTTTTCCTATAATACGTCTAACGAGAAACCTTTTTAAATATTCCTAACATTCCTCGTTTTAAATTAGTTTCTGGAATAAACCTAATTAGAGATGAGGATAATAAGTCAATAAGCCTACTTACTGTTAATGAAAGAATGTTGATTAAGAAATCAATTATTAAAATTAACAGAGCCACTGTAGATATTTAAAAAAATTAACTTTTGTTTATTAGTTAAAAAAATTCTTTGAACTTTGTGGAATAAAGAGTAAAAGGTTTTATACGTGTCCGAAATCAATTTCATTGAAATTTTGAGCTTACGCGTTATTGTTCTGAAAACAACACAATACATTCATTATTATTTTTGTTTTAAAATCTATAATTTTTGTTAGATTTTAGGCTGTCATGTCTGAAATATCAAACTGTACCTTCTGTATATAAATCTGACACACTTGAGTATTTCATATAATTGGTGTTTTAGATTTTTCAAAATCTATGGACGCTTCCCTTATAATTGAAAGCAGAATCATCATATAACAATTTATTTTTCTTATAATCTAAACTAGAAAATATCATCGTTCACGTAATATGCTAGTAAATCTCCATTAGGATCATAGGCTCTTCTGCCACGTGTTCTTTCGGTTTTGACGGTCTGCAATATTCGGTAAAAAAAGGATTTCGATATTTCCATTTAAATCATTTAATTAAACTGATATTTAACGGCATTATCATTCGATAGACCTAAAAAATATGATAGAGCGTCTGCATCGAATAATTCGCCCAACTTGCAGTTAAGATAGACAATATTAGTACTGCACGTAGAAGAAATTATCGTTTTTAACAATTTCTTAATTATTAATACAGCTGAGTGATAGTAACAATCTTATTATTTTTGAACGTAACATAATATTAATTCAAAAACTCTGATAAGAGAAAAATAGGACTAATGCGTGTAACAGTGTGTTAGTTGCCGTCCATAAATTACGTAACACATTTTTATTGAAATTTTGACCCCCCCCCCTTATGTTAACAGCTTGTAACAAAATCGTTTAACCTCCTCTCTCTATGATTGTTACGTCAGAGAATAAGTGAAAAATCTGTTTGAAAATGAAGAAAAAACTTAAGTCTTTGTGGCAACCTTGCATGTCTTTTAAAATTTATTTAACTTTAATTTAAAAAGTTCCAAAATATGCAAGAATTTTTAAAGTATTTTTCAATTTTTTCATGTACGTAGGAACTTAACTATTAGAGTAGGACAACTATTATGCAGAAAGATTAATCATTTTTTGTCGATTCTAATACAAGAAAAGATTTTTTCCTAATTAAAGAAATCGTGTAACCGTTGTAACATTCTTTTTGATTTTAATTATTTTTAAATAATTATTTAAGGACTTTTAAACAATTATAGCAGTAATTTTGACAATTTAAACCTGTTTAAATTCTCAGTTAACCAAAAATGAGTTAACCCTTTGACAATGGGTCAGGAATGAATGTTATCTACACTTTCAATTTAATTAGTTAAATAAATTTTGATAAATTATTTTTATTATCGCCAGGATATTTTACTTGAAAATATCCAAATGATTAATTTAATTAATTTTAATAATTTGCCAGACCAGTTCAGAAAGTATTAGGAGATTATAAAATAATTTCCTAATAAACCGCAGAGAGGAGGGGTAAGAAGACAAACACAATAACACAGGCACACAAAAAAGAAGTCAAAACCCAGAGGTCACACCCTCCTATCCCCATGTTTTTGGGGTCGCTGAATCCGAATATGACCATTAAAAATTTTTTTCATCAGCCTTTTTCCCGCTACCATCCCCTTACACCTGCTCCCGGGGGTTGGAATTTCAGTTTAAAAAAAAGTGGAGTAGGGTGTCTATTCCTGTTTTTTGGGTCACTAAAACCAAAAAAGACTACCTAAAACAAATTCTTTCCTCCCTTAACCCCCTACAACCCCGGGGTGAGGGGTCGAAATTCGAATTTTCACGAAAAGTCGATTACGGTGTCTAAACCTACGTTTTTTGGGTCCCTAAAACCAAAAAAGACTACCAAAATCAAATCCTGTCCACCCTCAACCCCCTACAACCCTCTTTTTTGGTTTCAGCGACCCAAAAAACGTAGGTTTAGACACCGTAATCGACTTTTCGTGAAAATTTGAATTTCGACCCCTCACCCCGGGGTTGTTAAGGGGGTTGTAGTGGTTAAGGGAGGAAAGAATTTGTTTTTGGTAGTCTTTTTTGGTTTTAGCGACCCAAAGAACATAGGAATAGACACCCTACTCCACTTTTTTTAAACTGAAAGTCCAACCCCCAGGAGCAGGTGTTAGGGGGTGGTAGCGGGAAAATAGCCGATGAAAAAAAATTTTAATGGTAATATTCGGTCTTAGCGAACCCAAAAACATGGGGATCTCTTTTAGGCGAGTTGTATGGGTGGCTCTATGAAGAAATATATACTATATGCATATTCGTATGAATAAATACATAAGTCCTTTTTTTATGTAGAGCACATTAAATAGCCTATCAGAAGCCAATTCAGACTATCAACACTTGAGCGGGTTGATGTGGGTCCCACATAACCCGGAAGTTCGTACATGGCGGTGTTCGGTTTGTTACTTCCAGGAGAGATTGCCAGCTGATCAACCTGGAACCGTCGTCGAGCCCCACTTTTTGACGACAACTGTTGAAATGGCAATCGAGCGAGGATGTCCGGGATGCAATAGAGACAAAATTTTTAATTGTCGACCTGCAGGACAGTGCTGGCAGTGTCTGTGGGCATTCCAGTCGCTAAATTTAGAGATTGGTCACCCTAGACATTTGCTAGTGCAAATTGTCGAAAGCATGAATGTCCCCTATCTCCGCTGCTTGTTTCCGGATGACAGCACGTACCCTCCTGCAAACCAAATCTTTTTAATAAAAATAAATATTATAAATAATGAAATCTTCTACGAACCTGATGAGCATCCTCACTTGATCGCAAATACCGATGAAGTACCTATGGAGGAGAGAAATGGAGATGTGAATAATGATGAAGTACCAATGGAAGAGAGAAATGGAGATATTGTTGACCGGTGAAAATAGCCAACCTTTTTTTTCTTTTCTTTCTCTTTTCTTTTTTTTTCTCTTTTCTCTCACAACAAAAAAGAAATCCTTTTCTTCCATTGACGTAACTATTTTTATATTCTTCGTCTCTACCTATAAAAAAAAGTTTTGTTTAAATCTATTTATTTTATTATTATTTACTTGCGTTTAAGAATAAAAAGAAAAAAGTTTTGTTTAAATTTCCTTATTTTATTACTATTTACTTGCGTTTGAAACTAAAAATAATTTTTTTTTGGTTTAATTTCTTTATTTTATTATTTCTTTAAGTTTAAAAAAAAAATATATATATATATATATATATATATATATATATATAATAAAATATATATATATATAAAAAGAGATGGTTTTGTTTAGTTTTTTTTTAATTTTCTATTATGTACAAAAATGTATATATGTATTTATAATAAAGCAAACATTTATAATTTTCTTAAATAAGAATACCTTTTACTCACCATTTTGTTTTGTTGCTCCAAAAAGGAAAATTCTCAACCATATTTTAAGAATTTATTTGAAAAGAAGAACACAATTAATCCATTGAGATATAAATTTCGTGGGGAATAAAGTGTGAATAAACTAAATCAAACCTTCGACAAACAATTAAAATTGTTAAATTAATATTTAACAATAAAACAATTATTTGTAAAATCGAATTGTGAAGTGTATATTTAAAAGAAACAATATTTGAACTTAAATAAAATTGGCTTTTTACCCGAAAGGGGTTTTTCCAATCAAATATAAGTGTATATTTATTTATCCCACCTTTAATCTGAATAATAAATTCAAATTTAAATTCAGTGCCCGCTTTTAAGCGGTTATAACAGTAAAAAGAATCCAGCCATCGGTTATTTGTGAATCCAACGGAAATATACGTAAAATATAACCTGTGACGCGACACTATACTATCAAATCGAGAATGAACAAAAATGGCCGTGTGTCTGGCGACGAGAGCGTCGCTACACACCCGCTTCCTTTTTAGTTCTATGGTAAGTCCCCGGCGTACTATTTTTTAAAACTTTACTTTCTACTCCTATCCGCGTGAGGTAAGATCTCCGCCGCCGATAATGCAGAGCGCCCACTATTATTAGTCGCTGTCGTGTACTCTGCGTCACCCTTTAATCCAATATGGCCGCAGTCAGTGTTTTGACAGGACCAAAACAATGAGTAATTTTCGTCTTCCTGGTGCTCTAGAATATTCGGGATTCACATCCGAATATATACACCAGGAAGTACTTCCCTTGATGATTACGAATTTTTAATAACCCACGACGAAATTAAGGATTTGTCCTATGATTATTTTTCTCTCAGTGAATATGAAAAATAACAAAATATAAACGGCAAAAATTTGTTCCAAATTTTTTTTAATTGTGACTGTTGATCCGACGATTTGACAGATTTTATCAAGAAATTTGATAATTAATTCAATATTTTAACTTTCAAGGTAGGATTTATTTAATATTTAATAAGGTTAAAATCTCAAAAATACTAATTACAATTTTTACTTGTTTTAGGAGAGTAGATTCTCGTTTTGATAGTATTGATATCAGAACTAGTGATTTTAAACAATAATTCAACAAAATTTTACTATATATGAAAAAACCGGAGAATATTGTGCGAGGCAAAAATGCCGCGTCACACCGTATAAGAAAATTCAATAGAGGAAAATATAAAAAATTGTTAGTTTCATAATCCAATTTGTCATTTTTAAATTGTTCGTAATAAGTTTTTATACTTTAAAGGTTATTAACTGTTGATCAGCAACTGATTATAAACAAAAAATTACAGGTGAAAAGAACACGTCACGGACGAGGACGAAGTGGCGGTAAAATCTAATTTTCTAATTAGCAATTGTAATACCCTACGATAACAAAAAGTAACGTGTAATTTTCCTAATCTATATTCTCTTTATGTATTCACACATCACGTTATTCTTATTTTATAATATAAAAAATAAAAGCCACGCAACTAATTGTGCTCTGCGTGTAAGTGTGTGTGTCACTAAAAAGCTTCATCAAGCATGCGCTAGTGATTTTTTTAAAAAAATCGCAATGGGCTCCTGCTGCAACAAGCAGTCGTCAGAAGCGGACTTCCAAATTCCGGAGAAAACAATATGAGGACAAGATTCAAGCTCTTGATCCAAAAGACGACTGGTTTTCGAAGAAGAATGAGCCTACTGCAAAGCTGAAAGAAAATAGTAAGACACTTAGGAATTAGCGACCAAAAGAAAGATTTACTGCAAAGAACAACAATGACACCGATTATCTATCCCGGTTTAGGACAAAGACTAAAACCGTACTTCGTGATGAACCTCTATTCTCATCGTTCCTATGCTGCATCAACTTCTTGAGCACAGAGTACATTAAAAACTTTGATTTGGCAGAATTTGGTATAGTTAAAGATGAAACGTACAACATATTGCATAATAATGACAAGAATTCCGAAATATATCAACAAAAATTCCTTTCTCAGCATGTAAAACAGCTGCAAAATTGTTAACAAATAAATTCCCAATTATTTTTAAAGATGTGAATGAAAAAGGAGAAACGATTGGTAGTGGACACAGCTACACAGCAGAAAAAATTCGAAATCGTAATAATAAGTTAAACAGATCAAAGTCTTTTCCTTCCTTAACAAGTACTCTCGGAGTTAATTCTGCTACCATTTAACTGACACAAATGGCACAAGCTGGTTGTCTTAGGTGGCCGCCAGAACTAAAGTTGACTTCAGAAATTGCTTAAGAAAAAAGAAAATTTCTTTTCTTGTTCATCACAGAAGATTCTGAGGAATTTAATGAAAACGAAGAACTTGACGAAAAAAGACAAATATTTTTAGAGATGGATGAAGTAACAAAAAAAGAAAAGGAAGAACTGGATTTTGTTGCAATCTAAGGCTACCAAAGACAATTTTAAAACAACTTACTGAGTCCGCCTAATGCATCTGAAATTCGAAAAATTTTGCCTGTTATTTTATTCCAAGACTTCTTCTCGCATTAGGAATTGTTAACAGGCCACTCTATGAACGATCTAAAAGAACGATTTGCCGAAGTCGGAGAAAAAATATTTGCTTACGGTCACGCAAAAAATGTATCATCCGAAAATATTTATTCTAATGAAGAAGTATTTCGAATTATATCGAAACACTTTAAGAAAGGCCACAATTCATTGTTTCGAAACTGCCCTGTAATTATTTCTCTTTTTAATAAGATACTTTATAAATTTTTAACATTTAAGGGCGCAACCCTAGTGGTAGCGCGCAAAAATTGACCATTTTCATAAATTAAATAAAAAAATCCACTACAATTTTTAAATAAAACAGTTTATTATCTAAAAGTACACAATTTAAACTACAAATTCCGATACAAAAATTTTAAAAACATTTAAAAATGGAGGCGTGGTGCGCGATCTTGTCGAGGTCTGCATACAAGAAAAAGGTTTGCGGTGACTACGATTATAAGGAGCTGGTTTATCTGAAACACAAAATTCAAACGAATTTAGTTAAAGTAGAAGATAATGTAGTCTTTATTGGAAGATTTAAAAAAAATATATTTTTGACAAAATGGCAACGGCTCAAACTCAATTTTTCGATTTTCAAAAAAAATGTTTTTCAGCTGTAAAAAAAAGTTTTTCATAAAAAAATAAATCCTTCGATTGAAGACTAGATTATCTTCTACTGTGGCGGCAGCTTAATGTTCTCTCCGCTTGCCATAGAATTGGCCCTTAGGTTTACGCTCTTTTTCCTTATGAGGACTAACTGTGATCATCGAGGTATGAATGTCATTCTTTCTAGTTGTAACGTCGAGAAGAGAACATAATCTTATAGTTAAGTGTAAGCCAGATGGCAGTATTATTTTCCAATAAATAATGTTAAACAGAATTTATAACGTGATTATTTGGTCTTTAGGAATCTGACCAATTTTAATACTCACCATCCAAATTTCCAATTTTTAGGTTTTGAATTATGCAAACCTCGACAAGATCGCGCACCACGCCTCCATTTTTAAATGTTTTTAAAAAATTTTTATCGGAATTTGTAGTTTAAATTGTGTACTTTTAGACAATAAATTGTTTTATTTAAAAATGTTAATGGATTTTTTTAATTCATTTATGAAAATGGTCAATTTTTGCGCGCTACAACTAGGGTTGCCCCCTTAAAACAGAAAAAAAATATTTATATTATTTATGTTTTACAGGAAGTAAATACCATCTACGACTGTAGAGTATCAGGGAATGTCTTTAGTTGAGCTGTTCGCATCAGTCAGTATTTTCGAAAACATTAATTATGTAATAAATATTTATTCTTACTGATTTATGTTTAATATTTTTAAAACTTTTTCAGGTAAGGAAGAGGCATACTCTTTCGACATTCAACAACAAACAGTAATAACAGATTCCTCATTTCTGGGAGCTTTTCAAGTCATGTTTGCATCGTATTTCATTTTTAATAAGCCGTTTCCATACTAAAATTCAGTAACATTGGATTTCAGTCAAAGGTTTTTCTAAATATTAATCCAAGCAATGAAAATAAGGCCAAAAGGAATGCCAAATCAAAAATATTAGGGGAGTATAGTCTAGGTCAAAGCTTGTCTTAGTGAAACCTAACTTTTTGTTCCATTACATTTTTGGAGAATCGAAAGTAGTGTCATCTGTGACGTCGATCAAAAAAATGGAATCGTCAAGGCAACAAAAATTTTGTGGTTCGAACAATTTGGTAATGTTACTTTCTGTCAAGGTTGGCCACTTTGCACCTAAAGTGCGCAAATATGAGGATGAGCTACTTTATTTGCAAAAACTGCGATACTAAATAACTCATAATTTAATTGATAATCTTATTAATATTTGTATTTAATTTTATTAATATTTCAGTTCAAAATTTGCCAAAGATATTAGAAAAATAATATTAAATCTGTAACGATGGGCTGTATATTAACCCAGATAGCACAAAAACTTCCAAGAAGTTTCCAGGAAGCTTCCCGTGGTAACTTCGAAAGTTACCTTTGGTAGCTTCCTGGAAACTTCACTATCAGCACATGAGGGTCAGCGGACTCGAACCACAAGTCATAGGCCTCCAAGTGTGCTGCTGGGATAGCACTTTAATGCGCTCAACCAAATCGCCACATGACATACTGAGCAATTACATTAATGCACGCTGCCTCTTTTTTTCGCAGCTGAATACATCTGTCTCTATCCTCGTTGCAGCTTGCGATGTCTAGTGCAGATGCGTTGATAAAGACAGAAACGCAGCTGGCCTGACTCGCCACACTGCTCGCACTTCCTCGTCTATCCACTCGGTCCAAGACAATTCTTGGTACCACCAAAGTGTTGTTGCCCTGCCACCACGGCAAAGTCTACCGAACATATCCATGATGTCAATCATGTCTGGTAGTGGATAAGTATCTACTATTCCCAGCACATCGAAGACATCGATGATGTTCGGCAGTGGACAACCATTGGCAGGTCTAAAAATGAGAATTAAATTATTTTTAGAATTTTATCAACATTTTTTTCAATAATTCAATTTCATGTATTTATCAAAGAATTTGAAAATAATTTAATTCTCATTTTTAGAATTTTATAAACATTTTTTTTCAATAATTCAATTCTTTTGAGAAAATGTAATTAAAATTGTATTCAAAATTCTTTAATTAATAACTTTCGAAAATTTAATTATCTTTAACAAATTTTAATTAAAATTGTTTAAAAATCTAAATTTTTAAAATATGAAAATTAAATTATTTATTAATATTTTATAAGTTGTTTTAATACTTATTTTGTTAAATATTTTCTACAAGAACTATTATTTTAAAAAATGCAATTTTATATTTTCTAAAATTTAATTAATTATTACAACAGTAATTCTTCTATAATTAAAATTATTTAATTATTAAAAAAGGGATTTAATTTAATATATGCCTACAAATAAATTTGATTTGAATTAAATTTTACGATATTTTGATAATTCAAAAATTTTTCAATTAAAATTAAATATACAAATTCAAAAATTTAATTAATTTTAAAAGGAAATTGGAATAAAAGTTTTTCAGAGTTTTTTTTCAAATTAATTAATTTTTTAAAATGAAATTTTCAATAATTTTAATTTTTAAATCTTTGAAAGTCAAGTAGTATTTTATATTCCCAAATATTTGTATTTTATTACAATATGTGGAAGAAAAGTCGAAAAATCACATTATTTAAGAAAATTCAAACAAAGTTGACGCAAACTAATATTGTTAATCATAAGTCGATAAAATAAAAATTAGTTTCCTGAAAGATAGAATAAAATATATAATATATAAATTAGCTTTACGATGTCAAGTATCGATTTGGTTGAGCGCATTAAAGTGCTATCCCAGAAGCACACGTGGAGGCCTATGACTTGTGGTTCGAGTCCGCTGACCCTCATGTGCTGTAGTTATGAAATTCTTTTTTTATATTAAACTCATTTTTTTATTTTATAATAATGCAAAATATGAATATTTCATATTTTTTAAAGCTTTTTTAATAATAATTTCATTAACAAAAATATTAATAGTTTTTGGAAACTTCCTGCACTGAGAGAAGAAAAGCACAGAATCCGTACTGTGACAAACACCGGCCGTGTAAAATGCGTGTCAGTGCCCGTTCTTAATTTTATTCAGTTGGTGTCATTCATAGTTCAGATACTATGCTTAAGCAGCGCGGCGGCGGTACGAACTAATTAGTACAGGATCTGTTTCATAGCGACCGACAGATACTGTACTTCTAAACAGTAGCATTTGAAGTACAACATCTGTACCTCAAGCCAAAGTCAAAATCCGTTTCACATTTTAGCACGACACCTATCACACAGTGGCACTGCTGCTGCGTTCAATTGGAGTACAGATGCTGAACTTTTTCATTTCAGAATCTGTGCACGGAGAGAAATCTGCTGCTAATATTACTCGAAAGAGCACATTACTTAAATTGCTTAACGTTTCTCTTATATTTTTAGCATCGATTCATATACTTATTGTAAAAATACTTTCAATGCAATAAGCATAAGAGACAGTAGCTAATTTTGCACGAAATCTTTATTATAAATACAAAGAGAACGTGCTATAAAAGTATTAGATTCTTTTTATAAGAATCGCTCGAACTCCGACTGATTTTCAGGCGGACTTTATACAACACAATCTTACCTGTGTATACGCACATATAACTCACACACACATATATTTCTCTCTCTCTCTCTCTCTCTCTCTATTTGATATTTCTTTGTCCTGTAAAACATTATTATATATTATATGTAGTATTTAATACTTGTTGCTGTTATAAAAAGATAATATTTATTTAATAGTAAGTATATTATTTAAAAATTATTGCATTTTTATTCGTGTTTGAATATATAAGCAACATGTGAAAAATGTTAGGTTATGTTATTGCAAACGTCACCGCTTTGTACGCGTTCCGTTCCTCGAAACCATCCAGAGAAATATGTGTGTGTGAGTTATATGTGCGTATACGCAGGTAAGATTGTGTTGTATAAAGTCCGCCTGAAAATCAGTCAGAGTTCTAGCGATTCTTATAAGAAGAATCTAATACTTTTATAGCACGTTCTCTTTATATTTATAATAAAGATTTCGTGCAAAATTAGCAGCTGCTTTTTGTTTTTATTGCATCGAACTCTCCATTACATTAAATAGATGATTTCGTATATAAATTATTATAACCTCAAGCTAAAATTCTATTCAGCAGTGACTAATAAAATTTGTAAAGATTCTGCAAGCAATAATAGCAACAGATTTCTCTCCGTGTGCTTTTCTTCTCTCAGTGTGGTAACTTCCAGGAAACTTACTTTGACAAGTTCCAAGAAATTTCCACCAGTAATTTACAGGAAGCTTCAAAGGGAAGTTTCCAGGAAGATTCCAAGGAAGTTTGCAGGAAACCTCTTGGAAGATTCCATGGGAAACTTCCAAGTGCGGACATTGGTGTATGATAGAAAAATTTCCAGGAAACTACCGAAGGTAACTTCCGAAGTTACCACAGAAAGCTTCCTGGAAACTTCTTGGAAGTTTTTGTGCTATCTGGGTTAATATATACCTAGAGAAATAGAATACGTCATGCACACAGCCATCGTAGTCGCGTTCAGCGTGAAAGCTACGAGAGAGTAGAGACCGCGCACGAAACTTGCGCCAACTGCCTCCGCTCCTCCAGAGCGAACCAACATACCTCGCTGAAAGATCCCAGATCGTCTACCGACTTGGCTCGAGGTGCTCTTCGGGCCTAACAGGTACGAACTCACTTTGGGCTTTAAACTTAGACAGAGGCGCTCTTATGGTGAGTAAAATGCTTTCAAGGGAAATGTTCGTTCTAGCCAGGTGCTCTTAGGTCGAACGAACTTTCTTTCTAGTACAAGGCCCTGGTTAGTTAACCAGGGGTGCTCTCGTGGAAAGTTGACAAGTACGCCTAGTTTCATTAATTTCCATCCTCGAAATTTGTATTCGCTCGTTACCACATACAGCAAGAATTTCTGCAGCATTCAGAATTTGAATTAACCACTTTGTGCTCCTTGGTTAGTTCTTAGAAGTGCGCGCCATAGACATCGTCGAACTCGCGTAACGTGGAATAAGGTCATCTTATTAGATTTAGACCAAATAAGATATTATATTTATTTAGCAATAGTCATAATTGATTTTTACTTACAATTATCTTTATATTATATAACCTTAATACCTGCCGCACTGAAACAAGAAGAATGAGAGAGAGTCATTTAAAACTAACCTTTCTTCTGGTCTGAACGGGCAAATTTGATGATTAATTATTTTGTCAATGGGTTGTTCATTTGTTAACTCTCAGTCATTACTATTTTGAACTTTTCACTATTAACGGTTTATTTAAATGGGACAACACATTTAAAACACTCATTTTTAACCTCACGTTGTTTTCGTCTCTACTCGTCTTAATTTCTCAATCTTTACGCGGCTATTTAATTCGACTATCTATTGCTTTGAGTTTGTTATATGATCACTGTCATATATTCAGAGTAATTCAAAGTGTGACGAAAGGGCTGCCAAAATTGTATAATATGCGAAAGAGAGTAATTAACAATTTTTTAGGTTATTTTTAATGAATTGATTTAAATTATTCCACTTCTTTATTTTGTGTTCACTATAACTTCTCAGTCTTATCTATTCCAAACACTTCGCGATTTTTGAGTTTAACGTCTACCCGAATTCGATTGCCCGTGGCGAACCCTTGAACCGGTCGAGTTTCGCAGACGGTCAACCTCGCGATAACCTGTCTCCAGGAGTTAACTGTCGCGAAGAAGCGAATTACATCGTAAGCAAACCAGTTTTATTGCATGAAATTGAGGCTTGGGTGTGACAAATTATTGGGAAGGGAAAATATTATTAGTAATATAATAAAAAAAATAGTATAAAAATAGTATTAATAGTATTAGGAAATATGTTCTGATGAAACTGAATAATTATGATTTCATTGCACTTTTTCTTATTGTGCAAAAATGCTTAACTCATTTTAGATTTTGCATCATGTAATGGACCTTTTCAGAAACGCCTGCGTTTCTGTTTTGTCAACAAACTACAATCTGGTCATTGAACCAAAAGAGTGTTTGACACTTAAATTTTCGAGTTAATGCATAAAAGTGGTGAAATCATTCTTGTATTTTGTGCTTGTCAATTATTTTAAATTATAGAATCGTAAGAAGGAATAGAATATGAAAGAATTTGGAATTTCTTAATCATGCAAAAAGACTGTTATGAACTCGAAGCAATTCTTATGTTATTGACCTGTTTGCGACACTACGGCTTTTACAAATAAGTTCATTGAATTTAATAATCTATTTAAATTTCAAATAACAATTAATTATTATATATGGCACATAATCAAATAGATATCCGATTTTTCAAAGTATAACTTTTAAATCAATAATAAAAAGACGATACTTTGAATGT